GGCTAGTAAAGCAACCAAAACGCTGGCTTGCATCCATAGATGCTTCTCGACCAATCCCGGGATGTCATTCTCCCCCTGTACTCAGCCTTAGTGAGGCCGCAGCTGGAGTACTGTGTCTAGTTTTGGGCTCCACAATTCAAAAAGGATGTGGAGAAGCTTGAGAGAGTTTAGAGAAGAGCCACGCGCATGATCAGAGGTCAGGGAAGCAGACCCTACGATGACAGGCTGAGAGCCCTAGGGCTCTTTAGCCTGGAAAAGCGCAGGCTCAGGGGTGATCTGATGGCCACCTACAAGTTTATCAGGGGTGACCACTAGCATCTGGGGGAACGTTTGTTCACCAGAGCGCCCCAAGGGATGACGACTAGGTCGAATGGTCACAAACTACTTCAAGATCGTTTCAGGCTGGACATAAGGAAGAACTTCTTTATTGTCCGAGCCCCCAAGGTCTGGAACAGCCTGCCACCGGAGGTGGTTCAAGCGCCTTCATTGAACACCTTCAAGATGAAACTGGATGCTTATCTTGCTGGGATCCTATGACCCCAGCTGACTTCCTGCCCTTTGGGCGGGGGGCTGGACTCGATGATCTTCCGAGGTCCCTTCCAGCCCTGATGTCTATGAAATCTATGAAACTGTTGCTTCCATGAGTAGGAAACATATTTAAACAACTTGGGAGCACAGAGTAAGAGCGGGAGCCAGAATCCATACCAATGGATTCTCAGCCACAGAACCACACTCCCTTTTAGCTGCATAACCATTTCCCTCTTGGCTACTGAGTAGACCAGCTCCAATAAGAGAGATGGAGGGTTCTCTGGACCCTTCCTAGATTGTGTCCTGGTGATTAGGATGCTTTCTTTGGAAGTGGGAAATGTAGTTTTAAAGAGGAAGACCTATAATCTGGGTCTCCCATTCCTGGATAAGTGCCCTAATCATTGAGCTGTTTGGCTGAAATATATCATGTAGGTATCACCCTCAGAGTTAGCTTTAGAATATCAATGCAGCTGTGTATGGGGGTCCTACTGAAAGAATAGGAGAGAGCTATATTCTTTCCGGGCTGGATTTAGAAAGGTTGCCCTTGGCCAAAATAGGAGAACTACATCAGGGCAGATTAGATTTGGCCTTGTATGGTACACTAGGCTGCACATTGCAGGAAGAGGAGAGCTATGCATCTCCTTGAATGAATTTGCATTTCACTCCAAGGTAGGACATGCAAATTTTGTACAAGCTTTTGAGAAAGACTTAGAAATGATTAGGATTTGGTCCTTAGCCTTTTTCATCTGTAGCTAGACATTTGTTTCTCTTTTCCTGAAAAAATTAGAAGGAAAGAACAATTGTCTTTCTTAAATATTTGGTACTTTAAAGTTTGAAAGCACTTTTGATAGTGAGAAATTATGTGCTTACAGAAGATGTCTTACAGTCTTCAGTAGTAAGAAATAGTTTATATAGTTTTGTTAGTTGCTGTCCTGATGGTTTGGATTTGATTTGATCATCAATCTAGGTACTGGATCTGATCTCACAGGACAAGAAGATCCTTTTTTCCTGTATCCTATAATTTCTTGTTGGTCAACAAAGAATGCCTATAAAGAAGGTAGGACAACTGGATTTAATTCTAAAATCTTCTTTTCTTTAAAAGTCTTAGACCGCGTCCAGACGTGTGTTGCTGTGCTGTATGCGGTGTGGCAGACACAGCTGCGGTGCCACATACCACACATTCAGTTCTCTGTGCTGCAAAAAAACCCCCAACCAGGGGTACAAAAAACAGCTGGAAAAAAAAGCAGAGTGGAGCATGCAGTAGTAGCATGCAAAGCTGGAGCCTGGCCGGCCGGAGCCACACTCTGCTGTCGGCCAGGCTCCACGTGGCAGGAGCTATGTGGCTGCAGCCCCAGAAGGCCCCCAGGATCCCAGGTAAGGCTGCTGGGGTCAGACCACTGCTGGGCCCACCCTCTTCCCACGCCACATGGGATACTTGCTGTGTGCCAGAGTACGCGTGGCACAGGCATTCCCCCAGCGACAACTAGCAGCAGCACGAGGTGCACCACCGCTAATTGTCTCTGGGGAACCAAATGTCCACGTGGGTCTGCATGCAGCTTAGTGATCGCTTTTGATTTTATTTCATTTCTATTTCTTCAATGTTTGTAATAAGCTCTTGGGCATGTGATTTTTTCCCCCCAACATTTTGTCTGTTTATTATTTGAAGCTAAAGTAGTTTTGAATGTCCCTCATATCTTCGTATCTGAAATCCATGAAATATTTGCAACAAATTATGACTTTAGCTAAAAATATAAATCTTTTTTCATTAGCTCATGAACATGAATATTTTGATGCAGTGTATAAGTTTTCTGAATTTTTCTTCTAGAGAGTCCTTTTGGTAGTGCAAAATACGACTTCCAAGTGAGAGAGGCCATTTTTTAATAAAACAAGAATTTTAATTATGAAGATCAAGTTTGATTATATTTTTAAAGTTAAAATTTGAGGGTATAAAATCTGGTTTATGCTACTTTTTTATTCTTAAAGAAGTAGAATTCAAAGAATTGAGTAAGGCACAACTATAAATTAACATAATTCATTGCATTCTTAATACTTCATAAATAAGGACTAGTAGTTTCTTTGGCTTTTAATTTCCAGGTGGCAATGTTACAACTTGCTGACAAATGATAATAAAACTGATATAGAGTTTACAAAACATAATTGAAATCTGGAATAAGAATTGTGTGAGTAGGTCCCTACGCTACCGCTATTCTCATTGCAGGAATCATTCGTGTGATTTACTCATTCAGTAAATACATATGCATTTGTACTGCTTTATCAATGTTTTTATGTCACTTGTTCACTAACTCACAAAATTCAAATTTATATTTAAATCCACAAAAGTTCACAAAAGGTCTTGTAGTCATTTAGGGCCTTATCCAGTTTGGTTCTTTAGGTGCCTAAACAAAACTTAAGTGGAATTTAAGTAAATTATTTGGACATTCTTAAAGTACATTTAATTTATTTAATTTAATAGATTTCATAGATTTCATAGACATTAGGGCTGGAAGGGACCTCAGAAGATCATAGAGTCCAGCCCTCTGCCCCAGGGGCAGGAAGTCAGCTAGGGTCACAGGATCCCAGCAAGATAAATGTCTAATTGACTTTTAAAGGAGTCCAGAGTAGCATTGTTTGGCACAACACACATACCAAGTGGTAGATTCAAGAAAAGGCGAGGAACCTTTTGCGCAGGGTGACCATACATCCTGGTTTGGTTGGGACAGTTCCAGATTTTGGAGGCTGGTCCCAGTTGGCCAGTGAAAATTAATGTGTGTCCCAGGCACAGGGCAAGGAGGCAGAGAAGCAGGAACTATAAAATAAGAAGTCCTAGAAGACAGCAAGATTGCCCTAAAATAGGTTAGCTTGATTAGTGGAATGACCATTAAAAAGGGGAGATGATTGTTAACACCTGTTGCAGTGATCTCCCTGTTCTGGGAAACCCCTGGGGCTGGAGGATTGCCACTGCAGCAGTCTCCCCACCTCAGGGGTGCAGTGAAGAAACCCCCAGGGCTGGAGGAAACTCCTGGGGCAGAAGGATCACTGCAGGGGGGGATCCTGCCACCCTGGGGGTGCAGGAAACCTTGGGCCAGAAAATCTCAACAGTCCTCTGATCCTAAGGGTTTCCCACACCCCTGGGATATGGGGATTGCCCTGTGGTGATCCTCTGGCCCCAGGGGTTTCCCCACACCCTGGAGTCATAGGAGCCCTGGATGCATGAAAACCATAATCTTGGGGATTGTGATTTTGCAATTCCTAGGGCTCAGGGATTTTTCACTAGACATGGTGCACCTTTGCAGCTGGGTGCCCTGTCAGCTGATGGGGCCTGAGCAGCAAGGGAGATGCTGCTACATGTGCAAAGTAAAGCTTGGAACTAAGCAGCTATAAAGTTAGGATACATTTTCGAGGTTTAACTTGACAGCTGGTTGGAGCTTTTTGTTGTGTCATAGCTACTTTGCAGGTGTAGCTGGTCTTCTGGTAATTGCACAGTCAGTTAACTGTGCAGTACCTGTGAGGTAGGGATGGGGCCTAAGTTCCAGAGACAGGTAGAAATTCAGATAATAGCATTTGCTCTTGGCTACCTCTAGAAACCTCCAGTTTTGAGAATGACCTTTCAGAGATGCTCAAATCTGTCCATTTTCTGTACCAAGAACCTAGGAGGCTGAACTTGTATATTTAGATTGCCCTCCTCGGACTGGACACCTAATTTTTAGGCACTGCTATACAGAAATAGAGGCACATGAGTGATCGATACTGAACTGGCCCCTAATGAGGTTTTGCTACTGCTAATCTATAATTGGGTAGTAAAATAGTTTCTGAATTATATATTGAATGCTATTAAACATTCCATTTTCAGTACCAGCATATTTCTTTTCTTTTTCAATGTACTTCATCATATACATTTGATTATGGGAGATCTCATAAGTAGTAATAATTCAGTAACCAACCTGAATTCAGAAAACAGTCACAACATTGATACAAAAAGGTAGTTAGCTGTATTAATCTGAAGTTAGACAGAAGGTGGGGCAAGGCAAAAACCTACCAGATGCTTTGAATGGAGAGTTGATCACTTTATAGTATCTGATGAAGTAGGCTGTTGCGGTTGAAAGCTCGTGCCGCTCTGAATTATTTTGTCTCTAAGGTGTCATGCTGCCTTACTTCTTCAGTATTAATGCAAATGTGTAATAACTATGTATTATTTTATCTTTAATGCAGTTTTGAAATTCAAAAAGAAACCTCGTTTTCTGGAGTTCTTTGTTCAAGTTTTACACCAAACACTGAATGAAGAGAAGTTTCAGCGAGTATTGGAGTGGGCAGGCTATGTGCAAGATTCCTTAAAAAGGTAGCTTTTTGCCCTGGGCCAGAATGCTAGGAGAGGGGACAAGTGACTGGGGGGAGTGTGGAGTACGTGCGGGGGAGCCTGTGCCTGTGACTGCCTCTTCTCTCTCCCCCCCACCCCCCCAACTTGCCTTCTGCTTTGGCTCTGGTCTCCAGCCCTGACCTGGCCTGGCTGGGAGCTGCCACCACTTCTTCGCTGGGCTGGGTTGAGGCCAGGCTGGGGCTATGCTGCTGCTGCTGAATGCCTCAGAGGTGCAGAGCTGCAGTAGAAGGTAAGGAGGGTGTGTGAGTAGGAGGTGAGGAGCAGGGGGTAGGAAAGAAGGCTATGTGGGGGACAGGGGATGGGGTAGTAGGCACAGGCACCAAGGGGCAGATGGTAAATGGGCACATAACATGGGGCAGGCACAGGGGGGGACAAAGGAGTGGAAGTTTGGTCTCTTACCCCACACTACTGCTTTACCTAGCTCAGCACTGGAAAGGAAGAATTTAGGATTCATAGATTTCATAGACATTAGGGCTGGAAGGGACCTCGGAAGATCATTGAGTCCAGCCCCCTGCCCAAAGGGCAGGAAGTCAGCTGGGGTCATAGGATCCCAGCAAGATAAGCATCCAGTTTCATCTTGAAGGTGTTCAATGAAGGCGCTTGAACCACCTCCGGTGGCAGGCTGTTCCAGACCTTGGGGGCTCGGACAGTAAAGAAATTCTTCCTTATGTCCAGCCTGAAACGATCTTGAAGTAGTTTGTGACCATTCGACCTCGTCATCCCTTGGGGCGCTCTGGTGAACAAACGTTCCCCCAGATGCTGGTGGTCACCCCTGATAAACTTGTAGGTGGCCATCAGATCACCCCTAAGCCTGCGCTTTTCCAGGCTAAAGAGCCCCAGGGCTCTCAGCCTGTCATCGTAGGGTCTGCTTCCCTGACCTCTGATCATGCGCGTGGCTCTTCTCTGGACTCTCTCAAGCTTCTCCACATCCTTTTTGAATTGTGGAGCCCAAAACTGGACACAGTACTCCAGCTGCGGCCTCACTAAGGCTCAGTACAGGGGGAGAATGAGGTCCCAGGATTTGCTTGAGAAGCATCTATGGATGCAAGCCAGCGTTTTGGTTGCTTTACTAGCCGCCGCATCGCATTGCAGGCTCATGTTCATCTTGTGGTGAATGATGACCCCAAAGTCTCTTTCTTCAATAGTGCTAGCCAACATAGCACTGCCGAGCCTATAAGGATGCTG